GGTGCCTGCGGTCTCGTCCCCTGCTTCGGAGAGCCTGGCCCCCGGCACCTCTGGTAGGGCGGGATGTCCGCCTCCGTGGGCAGGGGACCCAGGACCCCGAGGGCAGATCTGCTCGGCGCCCTCGACCACGACGGCCAGTAGTCGAGGGCTACCTGGCGCCGGACCCTGGGCTGCGCACTTTTGGATGCGTTATCTCCGTTGGGCGGATGAAGCAACGGAAGCCCGGGGGATGGTGTGGCTTGTCCACTTCGGTGTGCCCGGGGTGCAGGCGTCAGACACACCTGACCGGCTTCTCTCATCCCCCAGGTTCAGCCAGGAGGCGGGGAACACGCGTCTCCCTCGTGAGCCTGGGGGACTTGGTGCACAGTCGTGCGGGCCGCCCCACCCGGCTCCCTGGGAGTCCGTGTTCTTTGAGATACGGGAAGGAAGCCAAGGATGGGTGGCCAAACCCCGTGACCATAAAGACCTCACGTACTGTTTCTTCTCCGAGGTCCCGCCGGCTGGGCGTGCGGGCGCGTGGGAGCACACGTGCTCGGGACTTAGCTACCAGTGGCGTTCATCCATCCCCTCGGGAGGTGCTTTTTCATTTACGTACGTATTTTTGCCTGGACGCGTTAATTTATGCCTTTATTACTTTTTGAAGACTCTTTTCGCCCTCCCTTCTCTCCCCACCCCTGCACCGATGCGTGCCCTTGTGCATTCACTCGCTTCTTCACCCGTCCGCTCGTGCATGCGTTAGTTCGTTCATTCAACAGATGAAACACTTGGGAATGAGTTCAAGCCTTTGCGGGGAAACGTGGACTAGTTTAACCACGACCCCCGGTAGACCCCGGGCGTCTTTCTCATCTTTGGGTGTGTGGCACCCAGTGAAGTCAGATGCGTCGTGCCGGGGGCCCCGAGAAGGTGAGGTGACCCTGAATCGTCCTTGGGCTGCTGCTGGGATGTGAGGCCAGGTGAAATCCCTGGCGGGGAAGCGATGGGCCGTTCTGTCCAGGAAGCAGGACCGTGGTGTGACACGGGGCACGGAGAGGCATACGTGGAGTGGGCAGGAGATACAAGGAAGGGCGTCGTGAGGATGAAGCAGATACCAGGGGCCCCGTAGAACTCGCATTTCCTTCTCCCGCCGAGGTTTCCGTGCATTTTCCCTGTTTTGAACGTCGCGTTACCAACGATCGGTGGGTGGGAGGAAGGCCGCGCGGGGCCTGTTTCACTGGCTGAGCTTCTGTATCTGGAAGCACAGGAACCATAAAATGCAATGCATAGGCGGGGTGAGATTTCTAGCAACAGTCGTGACGTCGTGTGCAAGCCAGGCTACGGGCGAGAGCGCTTTGCACTTGGACGTGGAGGATGTGGGGACGGCCCTGCCTCCGCCAGGTGGCTGAGGATTGGACACGGCCTCTGCGCCTGAGTTGGAGTCGTGACCTGGCCGGGCAGCTCAGATGGTTTAATGCGGACGTCTCGTGGTTTGCTGAGAGGCCCGCTCGCTGCGCCACTCGGCGTTCCTTACTGTGCACGACTCCAAACGCACGGAGGTGTTTTCCGGCTTTCCAGGCGGTGTTTCCGGGGTCCGGCTGCACGGATCCCTTGGACGCGTAGAGCGTCGGCCGATGGCTTTTTTTTTTTTTTTTTAAATTTTTATTTACTTATGATAGTCACAGAGAGAGAGAGAGGCAGAGACACAGGCAGAGGGAGAAGCAGGCTCCATGCGCCGGGAGCCTGATATGGGATTCGATCCGGGGTCTCCAGGATCGCGCCCTGGGCCAAAGGCAGGCGCCAAACCGCTGCGCCACCCAGGGATCCCCGGCCGATGGCTTTCATACAGGCCCCTTGTGTGGGGCGTCTGTTGGTCCAGGAAGGTGCTTCCAGCCCTTCCCACGCTGTGAATGCTTCCCTGACTCCACGGAAGGCGGCGCGGGTGGCCGGCTGGAACTCCCCCTGCACCCGGCACCCTGGACTGTGCGGACCTCCCAAACGCCGTCTTGCCCCCCGGTACTCCCGAGCCCCCCACCCCCCGCCACCCCCGGGCAGCCAAGCCACTACTAGGTGGCCTGTGGGACCCCTGTATCAGAACCCCACCCCTTAAATCTCAACTCATGGCCAATGGAAAGAGTTCTTACTACCGCCGGTTCCCTAGGCAACCAAAGCGTCTCCTTGCGAAGGACTCCGGGAAAGGGGAAGAAGATGCCCAGGCTCGGGGTCCCCCCCCCCCCCGCCGCCCGTGCATCCATCCTCCACGCACCTGGGCGCCCACCCCTGCCCTCCCCGTCCCACCGTCCCTTCGCTATTGCTCTGCTTGGTTTAGAACACACAGCCATAACCGCTCGGGGCAGCCAGCAGCATGGCCGGATGTAATATTAATTTCTTTCCTGGCTTATTTGTGAAGGAGTCAACCATATAAATCACTTTGAGCCACTAAGAAAGTGGAATCGCGTCTTGAAAGGGAGAAGCCTGGCGCGTCACCATTAAAATCTCAGAAGAATATGCGATGGGTTTGAGGTTCCTCACGTGGGTGTAGTTCTGTTAACCTCGCGTTAGATCACGTGAAACGCTCAGAAAGTTTTTTTTTTTCTTCTTCTTCCCCACCCCCTTCTCCGTCTTAGTGGGAAGCGTTGGGTACCCATCAGCGGCATATCATTAGAAAGTCTGGTGTCTGCTGGACAGTCTCCTTGTAATGCCATTTTTCATGACTTGTTTAATTAACAACCATTTTTGACCTAGACTTGTTATAAAAGTGTTACTATTCTCTCCTGCTAAATTATGTCTAATGAACATATTTGCATGTTATCAGATCTAGCAATATATCATTTCGAGTTTTGGCGTTTAAGCCTGCATCACTCAAAACAGCTTTTGTGGATTAGTAAGCAGGTGAAATAAAAAATCTCATTTCATATCTGACATTAATAACTTTCAGGGGGAATGAGCATTGGCATTTATGTCTGGACCAGAATCGAGCCCAATGTCCTAGAAACACAAGGGCAGCAGACAAACCTACTCACCAGATAGGAAAATAAATCATGCATAATGCAGAATTTCTACCTTACATGTTAATTAATGTGCGCAATCAATTACTGATGTTACAATATGAGAAAGAGACTGGTAGGGAATGGGGTAATAAAAAATACCTATAGATTTATCTGCTTCTTTTTTCTATTTAAACAAATAGTCTTCAAGCCTGTGAATGCTGTGTCGAGACATGCTCTGAATAATAAGCATCATAAAATCTAATCAGATTTATAAGAGGAATTGATTGTTGTGGCAGGAGGAGAGGGTGGAAAATAAGCCGAAATTTAAGTGTTAATTTTTATGCTAATCCACAGTGGCTTCATATGAAGCAATTTTGTTCTGCGCCACAAATATAAAATTGTCCCTTGCAGAGAAATGTCAGCTTGCTAGACCTGAAAGCAGTAATTTATTAGGTATGTTTCTATTAGTATGTGTCACAGTTGTTAGCAGGCTATACACACAATGGTGCTTCATACTTATCCTCCGAGTCTCAGAATGTTTCAGCTCAGTGGCTGGAACGTGGGGCATTAATACATTATCATATGCGGGGTGGTCTGTGCCCTGTGGACAAAAGGCTATTTAATACAATTTAATGTCATTCTGAGAAGAAGTGGAAAAATAAAGACGGGGAATAAAATGGCATCTGTGTGTTTCACAGTGCACTCATGCACAAACCCTCAGTTTAAGAGGTATGACATTTCTGCCAAGAAAAAGAATAAAACTGGGGCATTTTTTTTTTCTTTTATAACCTGTTCCCCACTGCAGTATTTTCTAAATGCTATTAAGTGATCGATTTACACGGCCCCGTGATGATGTCATCCATAAGAAGGGGAATGCAGATGACAGCAAAATACTAGTGACAGTGACCTTGTTTCAGAATCCTTGGAACCCTGTCAGCGTCGCTTCCAGTATATGGTTTCAAAGAATGTACTTTTTGGACAATATCTAGTTACTGGGTAGTGAATTAATAGAGTTAAGGCTCTGATGCAATTCACATATAGGTCAATTACATGCGCCAACATCTGCTCTGTCACTATCATTTGCATATAGCATTCATATGTTAATGATGCCTCTTTTAACTCAAGTAATATATTTAAAAAACAAGATTTGCATATCAGTTTGGATCAGTCTATTACAAGCAATTTATCATTTTCCCCTTCTTGTTATGATTTTAAGAACAATATCTTGAGTGACGGCTGCTATATTTGAGCACGGCTCTGATTTATACAAGAAACCCTTCAGTGGGAAAGCTTCCATTCTAAAGCCGCTTAAAGCCTTATAAATCAATAATGACACAGATGGACTGGTGATAATCTATTTAGAATGCCTGATAGCAAATATTGTTGTACAGATGATTAGAGTGGTAACTGTTTTAGCAGAAAGCCTCGCCTCTCTTTGTAAATGGTAAGTTTGAAGCAAAAAAAAAAAAAGAAAAAAAAAAAAAAAGAAAAAGAAAAAGTGCTCTCGCACGCAGGCAGACTTGGTGTCAGGAAATCTCCGCGCCCGCCAGGGTCTGGATTGCAAAGGGGAGAACATGGGGGAAGAACAAAGGGACTTCGCGCGCTCCTGCCAATATAATCATATCAATCCCTGTTTCTTTAACAAAACGGGACCTCTTAATGGAATTGTGTCTTCAGGTGTAAATAGCATTAAAAGCTGCCTCTCCTCTCCTCCTTGCCCTGATACAGCGCGAGGAGTGGGGAAAATAAAGTGGAGGTTGTCAGAAGTGGCAGCTGCTTGGAATCCTGATAAATATAAGCTTTTATTGATCTGATGAAAATGAAAGATCCCAGTGCTAGGCAGTATTTAGCTTCTTGTCTACAGCACGTCACCGGTGGCCTTGCATCGGGATAGATTTTCATTCTCCTACACCGGATTTGATTTCATCTTTAACCTTTTCAGTTGAATTTCCTTGACCTCTGCGTATTGCTGTGATTTGGCGAATTTGTTACATTTCACTTTACATCATTTCTTTCTCTATTTTCCTTTTGTGATAGGGGAGCCGGGACGCCCCTCTGGCGATCTGTCAGTGCCTGGATCAGCTGCATCCTTTCTGGGGTATTTTGTTACCAGACTGACAGTCCTTAAGACAAGTATGCAGTTAAGCTGCTAAGGTAAGTCTTACGATATTAGAGCTCTTTGCCCTGGACGCACATCACTCCCTCCTGCCTTGTGGAGTTGGCCTAACGCAGATCCCAACCAAAGGGGCCCTTGGTTTTGTCCTCCTGGCCCGGGGGGTGGGGGCGTCCCCCCAGCCTCGCCCGCCGCCCGCCACCTGGGCAGGACGGTCCACCTGCCCGGAGGCTCTGGGCGAGAGGCGGCGGCTGCTGGTGGCGGTGGCTGGCGGCTGGCCTGGCGGGACCTTTCCCCGCGGGGCGGGGGGGGGGGCGACCTCCCTTCGTGGTTTGGGTGTGTCTGGGGATGGGTAGGGAGGGGGGGGAACAAAGGAATCGGGGATCGGGGGTAAGAAAAGGTGATTTCCCCCTCCGTGGCTTAATTCCCTTCTCAAGTTCTCTTCTGGGATAAATCTGAGGCTTCCGTTCGCAATCCCGAGGTGCCGCTAACCTATTCTGGTTCCGAGAAAGGGCCGCTGTTATTCTGAGTAGTTTTGATACAACCAAATCAAAGTGAAGATTCGAAATAGCTTTTCTGAAAGCCCGAGCTGAAGTCATAAATTATTCCGCACCATGATTCCTTCTGATAGTAAAACCATACCTCCTCGGCCTGACATCGCTGCAGAAATGTGGAAAAGTGAAAGTTAAAAATAAAATGAAACATTTAAATCTCGGCTGTTGAGAACCTCCGATAGATAGACGGCAAGGCCAGCCGATAAAGGCCCCTATCAATTAGGCTCCTCCCGTTGCCATCCGCTCCGGTTTATTAGCCGCCGCACAGGTGCGGGGCGGGACCAGGAGCCGGGCGGGAGGACGTGGGGTGCCGCGGCGTGCTGGGTGCCGGGCGCGGGCTGCGGCGGGGCCCCTGCCGCGCGTGGTCTCGTAGGAGAAAACATTTGCAGCACCAGGGTTGGAAGTTTTCCCTGTTTTTTTTTTTTTTTTTTAATCCTCCCCCCCTTTATTTGAGTTAGAAAGTGTTGATTTCACACCGTGGAGAGTGTTTCCCGTCAGCGTCGCCGGGAAGGGGGGTGCCCCGAGCTGAGAGGTGGTGGCTGCGGTCAGGCGGGGACCTCAGCGGGGCCCGGGGTCCCCTCCAGCCCCGGGTGGGTGCAGGGCCGACGGCTCCCGGGCCCTGGGCCTGCAGACTGAGCCGTTTGGCTAGTTCCCTCCCCAGCATATCACAGGCAGAGCAATTTTTGGTTCCAGAGCCGTTTGGTTGGGAAAACAAGCCTGCGATTGCCAGTAAGGTTTGGAATCCGCCTGCCAGATAAGGGAATGTCTGTGAAGACTATTTTCCCTCTTGGGAGGCAAAACACAGATGGGGGAGTTAGGAGTCTTACAATATTTAGCTGCTACATTGATGGTAGGAATCCTGCCGCGTGGATGCTCACGGTTCCCGAGAGCCCCGCGCGCCGCCGCCGAGGGCCTCAGCCTGGGGACACGGCCGGGGCTGCTCCGCCCCGGGGAGCCCGGGCACCTGCTTCTTCTGGAGCGTTCCGCGCCCCGCGCCTCTCGAGCGGGGGCAAAGAGGCTGCAAGGGTGCCGGCCGTCGTTGCCCTCGGCCCGGCCTGGGAGTGATGGTGATGACCAGGTCGTGGGGGGCAAGCTGGAGCCGCCGCGCTGACCCGGGCTGCTGGCGCGCGTGGACACGGCCATCCTTCCGGGCCTTTCTCAGACTCCGTAGAGAACAGGCCACGCACCAGCCTCAGCGGGGTTTCTGCCTTGGGAGCAGGCCCTGGGCCTCCTGGAAGGGCAGGAACAACGATGCCACGTTCTTGGGGTTGGCCGCGAGGAGGCGGGGGGCTTTCCTGCGTGCACAGTGCAAGTCTGGCAGCGACTTTAGGGTCCTGCATGTGAACCGGAAGAAGGATGCGCAACCTTATACCCAAGAGGAAATTCTGGGCCCTGGAGACCAGGAAGGAGGACGGGTCTTGGAGACGGGGCCGCCTCCTTCCCGACTTCCAGCCTCAGCACACGGGACCCCGGGGTCCGTCCTGGTGGGCTCCTTCCCCGAGGAGCCTGGGGCCACCCCGATCCCCTCCCAGTCCTTTGACACGGACGCTCGACGCTCCAAGTGTTGTGTGAGATGCTCCACAAGCGCAGCTTTGGGACACACGGGCGGCCACACAAGCCCGAGGTGACCCATCAGCGACCGAACCTCTCACACGCGTCACAAAATGACCTCATCTCCCGCCGCGGCGTGGATTTCCGGAGGCTCCCCCGCGACGGGTGGACGGGAGGCCGCGCAGAGGGCGGTGGGTCCCAGAGGCCACAGGGCTTGCCTCCCGCTGACACGGTGGCCCCAAGAGTGTCTCGGGATTATTTTGATCGCCGCCGCCGGGTCCCCGGCAGCTGGCTGCTGTTGTTGGTTCCGTTTTCCAGGTGTGGAAACAAGCTCTGTGCCTCTTAGGTGCGTGAGTCGTGGGGCCAGGAAGCCGTGAACAAGGCAACCGAGGCTGAGCTGATGCCAGATAGCGGGAAGGGCTGTGAGGAAGCTCTGCTGGGGTGGGGGGGGTGCTGTACTTGAGCGGGGTGGGGGTTGGGATGGTCCCCCCGAGGAAGGTGCCTTGGACCGAGAGCTCTGATGGACTCGGAGCACCAGCCAGGTGAGGGTCTGCGGGAGGAGCATTCCCAGCAGAGGGACAGCAAGTGCAAAGGCCCTGTGGTCGGGGGAGAATTTGGCATGTCCAGGGGACAGATTATAGGCCAGTGAGGCCAGAGCACCGTGAGCTTATGGGGCAGGGTAGGCGGGTGGGAGGGCCTGGGGCGTCATGGCTCTGTAGGTGGCCGCGGTGAGGGCGCCGTCCGTGTTGCCAGCAACTGGAGGAGGGGCCTTGAGAAGCCCACCTTGCGGGGGGGCCCAGGGGTGGGGCCAGAATTCCATAAAGGCCGTGAACCCACTCTTGGCCGCTTGGAGGGTGTCGGGGTGACGTGTGCTCAGCGGGGAGTTGGGACCGTAGGCCCCGGAGTACGGGAAGGGGAGCGGCCGTCGGGGCCGCCTGGAGCTCCGCGTGCCCCTCAGCCGCGGGTCGGGCGGGGTCGCAGGTGGAAGGCTCTGGGGGCTCCCTTTGGCTCGGGAGCCGGGTCCACCTGAGCTCACAGGCACCTGCCACACTTGTGCGTCCTGAGCCCTGAGCTCTGTGTCCTGCTGACCCCGGGGCGGTGGGGTGGGTGGGTCACGGCCTCGCCTCATCCCCGGCGCGCTGCGGACCCCGAACCCAGGCTGCCAGGAGCCTTTGCCATCTGCGCTGCCTTAGTTTCCCAAGTTGGAGACCCAGGCTCCCCCGGGGCGCACGGGCGGCCCCTCGGCGGCTGGGTGGCCCCGGCCATACTGTGTGCATGGCAGATCCCGCGGCAGCTGGCAGGGGTCGGCGGTCATCCAGGGTGGGTGGCCCGGCCCCTGGCACCCGTGCGGCCTGTAACCGTTAGGGCAGATGGCACCTTGGCTTTGAGCGCCCGCGTGGACGCGGACCACGTGCACGCCGCTTCCACACGTCCTGGGAGGCAGGGCTTGCCGAGCCCGAGGCCTGCCTGGCTGCGCCGTCGGCCGACGCTGGGGACACAGCAACGCCGTGGGGCCCTGACACCAGCACGGGGGCCGGGGCTGCCCCTCAGGTGTTCCGATAGGGCCCATTTCAGGGCTTCAGGCCTCAGGAGGTGCTGACGGCAGCTCAGCCAGGGCAGGGCTGGGGCTGTGCCCCCGAGTGGGCTCCCGAGGCCGGGGACCCCTAGGCAGGCCGTGGCGCGGCCTCTGTGTCCTGGACGGGCCTCGGCTCCAACCCCAGGGCAGGGTCTAGGTGGTGAATGCACGACCCCGAGGGTGGACGGAGCGGGCTGCGGAGCGCGGAGCCTCAGCTCTGGTCATTGCAGCCACCTGGGGGTCTGCGCAGACTTCTTTCCAGGTCTTCATACTTTTTAAGGGAAGAAAAGTTTTTAAAAAAATCCATCCAGTTTTTTTTTTTTTTTAATATGAACAACTAATGTAAGTTTTAACAACCTTTCAGCCAATGCCGGGGTCTGCAGGCTTGCGGCCTGGGCGGAGCTGCGGCCTGCACCCAGCTCTGAGCACAGTGGGTGCAAGCACGCGTGGCCTGCCCCCGCCCCCCCAGGCTGCCCGCGGGACAGTCCAGGCTCGGGGCAGGCACGGTGTGCAGGGAACCCGGCCCTCGCAGGCCCGTCCCCTCTTGGTTCTGGTGCTTCCTTACTGTGGGGGCAGGGGCGGTTCCTGGCTGGGCGGGGTTGTTGGGCCCAGAGGAGCAGGTGTGGGGGGGGGCTGGGATGCCCCTCTGCCAGCCTCCGCGTCCCATCCGCGTCCGCCGACACCTGAGCTGTCGGGTGCCCACCGCATCTGATACGGGGACGCGGTGATGGGCGAGGTCGATTCCTGCCCCCCGGGGGGAGCGGTGATAGGACCCCGCTCCCTTCCTCCTCACTGTTGGGGTGCAAGGCCCCGGCCTGCTGAGCCTTGATGGGTCTGTGTGAGCCCGCTGCCCCGCCTCTGCCCCCCTGTGTTTGCGGAGGGGCGGTCCTGACCCGCACCCGCTTGCCGGGAGCGCCGGGCTGCAGCTGGCCGCGGGTGGCCGGCGTCGGCCCTGGCATGAGGGGAAGGACAAGGTGCTTCCTGCCCTGGGAGGCCAGCTGGCGGGCAGGCCGCTCAGCCCACCCGTCGCCTGTCCCTCCCGCAGATGTGCCCCGGGTCCTCAGCCGGGGAGGCGAGCGGGTCTGCGGAGAGGGCGCGGACCCCCACCCGGCCGCCAGGCTCCTGTCAGGGTGCCGGGCGCCGAGCCTCCCCGGGGTGCGCGAGGGGGAGCGGGGGCGGGCTCCGGCCTCACTTCCTGTTGGCCCCTGCCCGGCTCCCTTCATCCCGTCCACATGCAACATGGAGTTTGTGTGTGTGTAATATTATTTGTTTTTATTTCTGTAATCCCTTTATTGTTTGCACAACTGCTGTCAGACTGTTGCCTGAAAGTATCACAGGATAATTGCAGAACGCCTGCATA